TTTTTGATTCCTACCATTGTTGAAAATCCAACTTCACAATGATATGAAGATGAGAAAGGGAGAAGTACCTTCAAAGCTTCAGTGGAAAGGATTGGGGACGGTTTTCGAACAGACACCCAGAACTGTATCAGTTTTCTGCTGTTAAAGTTCATTTCTAACGAAGCGTCCTCAGATAAATCCAAAAGTTCTTCCTCAGCTTTTGTCGATATCTCACTCGTTATGTCAGGGGTTCATAATCCATTTTTTCTCTTGGATATTTTTCATTTCTTCAAGGAAATAAAACTCAAAACTCTCTTTTAGGTTATTCAAGTGTTCAGATATCTCAATGATTATATCATCATCAACTTTTGCTTCATTCTCCATTACAAAGGTTTGAAATGTTTCAAAACAGTCATAATTTCGGTTGTCAATACAGTTTTTCCATAGAACAAGTTTTTTCATGAAACCTCGAATTTTCTCATGAACTGCGAATATACTGATACCTTCTGCTCCTTGCAAGTACAAATTCAGTTCGTTTAGTTTTGAAAAAATATCTGCCAAATACGTGAGCCTCAGAACAAAGGACAGGTAAAGTTATCTCAGTATCTGAACTGTTGAAAGAATGATTGTAATAATGAACAGGAAAGGTATCTCAGTATCGGAAGTGTTGAAAGAATAGTTATAGTAATTCTAATATGGGAAAGCCAGTTCAGTGTTAGTAAACTGATTTTATGATTGGTGAACTACACTGCTACACACAAACATGTTTTGAAGCATTTTATTTAAACAATGTGTATATGATATCAAAAAATATATAAAATGGAACATTTATTAGAACACAGTTAAAACAACTTTATTGAAGCTATAAATGGTCTCCATTACTTTGTCCTCCTCAAGAAACTAGTGGTTTTTAGTAGAGGCTATTGATAACTTCACTAAAGGTGTCTTCATTGTTTTCTAATAAATATTCCATTTTATATTTTGGACAATTTTCTGTGCAAGTAATATATGTATCTTTTGTTTCAGGCATCTTTTACATTATTACAGTGTACAAGAATAAAAATGGCTAATCTGTTATAATAATACTCAGTTTTTCTCTGTCCTGAAAATGCACACATACCTTACTATCTAAATGTGCACACACTTCAATGGTTGTAAATATACTTTAGTAGACACTTTGTATAACAACATATTAAAAGTTTATCAGTTTTTAAAAAGGTCTGACAATAAATAGGTCATAAAATAACATTATAAGTTTACTTACTGATAGTATTAAGTGCATTAAAGTTTAGCCCTATCTAAACTAAAGCATAAAATGTACACAAGTTTTACAGTGTAAATTTATCTTTTTATCATATAGAGACTGTACTTAATAAAGGCTTAACTAGTGTTAGGCCTAAGATAAGTGGACTTGCAGATTTCAGTGACTGCAATTCGATTTCTTTTGTATTATTCTAGAAATCCTGTACTTAAAGAAGTACTGTTGCAATAAAGTTACTAATTTGTCTGTAAATGTTTTGCAGGTCTCTGATGGATTAAGATTAAAAGCTTGCAGTAAAACTGAAAGTGTCATTGTGGAATAAATCTTCTTATGACTGTGATTTATTTATTAATTTTTGCTCATTTGGAATAAGAGTTGTAAGAAAGAATTGCTAATAACAAAATTATAAATCAACACTCAATTGAAACACCCTCATACCTCTGGTATTAACATGGTGAATTATGCATACTATTAAATGGTATTTTGTACATGAAATAATACTGTCTTGAGTTATATTTTTGTCAGCATTTTGAAATAAAACTGAATCTAGTCAGTGATGAACATGTTTCTGTAGGCTAGAGTTTGACTTTGTGAGAATGTGTTTCCCAATTCTATTTGTGTATGTTCATGTCATCTAATTTACAATGCTATAAAATGTATGTGTTTTTTGTTAGACCAGTGTCATGATATTTGTGAATATATATGATAACAATAAAAACATTACAGCTAAGATTTATAAAATTATAGAAAAGTCCTAATTACACAAATGTGATACTTCTTATGTTCTAGGTCTTATTTTACTCAATTACATATCTGAAATTTATGGTCTATTTTTTAAAGAAAAGAAATAGGCATGTTATTGAATAGCAAATTATTTTTTAAAAACACCACCATTTTGCAACTTAACAAATCGTAACGGTAGTAATACAGTTAAACATATGTCTTACTAGGCTAAAGAGAGATAATATGATTTCATAGATAAGGATTTGAAGTAATATACAATCGTAGAAAAATATGACACTTAGTGCTTATTTCTTAATAGGCTAGAGAGATAGTAGCCTGGCACAAAGAACTTCAAGGAAGGACGTCAGTACTCCAATCACAAGTTTTGTCTCTGGAGGTTGAGCAGGGCCAACTTTTTGCTGGAACCCAGATTTCGCATGAGAACCAAAACCCTGTACCAAGTACAACAGCAACAAAGGTATCCCCAAATGTTGGGTGATATATGATGATTGCTCTGTTGAAGTTAGTAGCTTAAAGCTCTAATCAGCTGGTGTATTGGCATGATGCATGTGCTTCTTTTTCTTCTTTTTTTTTTCATTTGTTATTATAAGGGCATTAGACTTTTTTTTTTCTTGTCGCATCTTGGTTGATGATATTTTGCAGCCTGTTTTTAGCCTAAGCTGATTCTTCAAGAGCCATTCAGGTTGAGTAACCATGGAAGTCTACATCAGGTGTAGCAGAACCTTCAGCTTCGTCCATGGGCATGGGTAGGTTGGAGTGTATGTGTGTATCTGTTTCTGAAGAAAGAAGTCATATGATTTAACTAACGTAGCATTTAGGATATGTCACTGTCTTCCTAAGTTGTTGTAATGCCTGTGTATAATCTTGTACATTTAAGTATTACATATAAAACTTTATCTTTACTCTGTATGTAAATCTGTTCTGTTATATGATTTCTGGTCAGTATTTGAACTAATAATTTCACAAGAAGCTGACCTGTTAATTTGTTGTTTTCAAAATATGCCCCAGTGATCTTTAATTTTATGATTTCATTTTTGAAGTAGTATATAAATGGCTTTTTAAACCAGTGTATATTTTATATTTACCATTTTTTTATATTTTATATTTACAGTGATACATGTGCAGTTGTCTGATGCTATATATTAAAAGTTATCCATTACTCTAAGCACATTCATTTAGTTGATATCATGATATTCACAGTCAGTTAATTTTGTTGCAACATGTTTCTACAGAAGCAGTTGTAATAAAGACCCTTATTAGATTATTTAAGTTTAGTTGGACACTTTGTAATACAATTGTATACATCATACATATGTCTTAGCTATAATTTTAACCTTGTTTTTACTGGGTTACACTCACACAGTAATTACCCATTTTAAATAAGGTTTAAATTTTAACTAAGACATATGTATATATGTTCATTGTAAAACTATTTAGGATATTTTTTCTCAAGAAAAATTGTTTCTCAGGTTATAATGTTAAAAAAATGTGTGTGTGTGTGTAATTTTCTCTCTCCCTAAGAAACATGATATTTTGTTTAAAAAAAATTTTTTCACCCCTGATATTACTGCCTTCCATTTTGTAGTGTGTCCACAAGAATAGAAAAGATCGGACACAAGTATTACAGGAAATCTCAGCATTAGTGTCACACAGACATTCACTTCAGATGAAGCTCAGAGGTCTCCAGGCGGAACTTTTTCCTCTGGAGAAGCTTCTACCAGCTGAGAAAACTTCACCTGATGATTTGAATTATATAGACAGCAACATGATAGAAGGCAAAATAGACACCAACCGTGGAAGTGACAAAATGGACAATTTGGACAGTAGCAGATTGGGTGAAATTGCAGGAGATGACAGAGTAGTTGACAACCAAGAAAATGACATACTAAAAAGTACTCTTGAAAGTGACACAGTGTATCAGAAGGTAGAAATAAGCACAATAAATAGGAATTTGGAAAACAATCTGGTATATAGTAACCTTAATACTGCCAGTGTGGGAAGAGGTGCTAAAGAGACTAAAAATCTAGAAGATGATCGAACGATCGGCAACACAGCAAGTAATGGAGTGATAAATTTGAAAAATAATGTAGTGGATAAGACACTTAGAAGTAAAGTAATTATCAACAATACTTTAGAAAAGGATGTATTTAATAGGAAACTAAGAAAAAACATAATGGACAAAAGTGCTGAAAATGATGAACATAAGGACAGAAACTTGATGCAGAGCAGTGAACCAGACATAAATTCAAGGGTTAGCAAAATAGAAATAAAGTCTGAACCTTATAAAAATGGGGAACTAAAAGGTTATAGGTCACCACCAAGGCTTGAAAGATTTGAACTTTCTAACGTTCCAGTTTCTAACAATAACTTATTTATATCATCAGCTGCCAGTCCACCAGTCCCAATTTTATCTCCAGTGTGTTCAGAAAATGTTTTCAGCAGTCCTTCAGAAAATATTTTTCTACAACTTGACAAGACAAGCTCACAGAGAAAGACATACCAGTCTCATCAGAAATTCATACCAATTGATTCAGTCTCTATAGAAACAGAATGGAACTCACAAAAAAATGTTTTGCAGCAGGGTTATATTTCTGCTGCTGATGGAGAAAAACAACATAAAGACTTTATTACCAGTAAAAACAGCAGTTTCTATGATCACACTAAACTACTGGATGATGCAAGAACAACGGATAAAATGGAAGAGTTTTCAAATACAGTCTATTCACCAATTAGCTTGCATCAAGAAGACTCTTCCATTGACACTGATATGAAAATTTACCATTTTACTAGTACTCTTTCATCTCCTGCATTATTATCAGAATCTGTTTGTAAAAAGAAAAAAAACACTAGAGGATGCTGTGGTACTGTAAATATCCATAAACATGGCAACTTTGCTTCACATGTGAAAAAAGAGGTTTGCAATGATGCAGTAAGCTCACAAGTTTTGTGGCATAAAGATGTCCCCTTAACTACTGTAAAGCAGGAGACTTTGAAGAATGAAACAAACTACAACAAAGTGTCTAAAGAAAAAAAGTTTCTAAAGAAAGGAAAGCCTTCAAGATGTCATAAGCATGCAGGAAGTGGTCATTATTCTAATGGAAATGAATTGATCTCAAATATAACACCTAGAAACCTAAGAAGTCTCAAATCTTGCAAAGGAAATGAAGATATTTCAGAAAAGTGGAAACGAAAGCAGAATTACATTGCCTGTAATTTTGAAAATGATCGAAAGAGACAAATATTTTCTTCTCCCAGATCAGTATCAGACTCTGGATTTGACAGTCGAGGCTCCATTGTACAGTCATCTGAATGTGTTAAAGTATCCAGTGAGAATGGCCACAGTTCCCAAGCTTCTGAAGAAAGTGAAATTCAATATATTAGAAGAGCTGCTGAACTAGAAAATCTAGCAAGGTTTGATGGTGAGTTTTGTTTGTACTGTGCTTCTCATAATGAGAAACATGATGTAATATATGGTGTAAAGTAAGCAGATAGAAACGATTCCTAGAACTCTGTCTTGCATCTTGTTGGACTTAAGGTCAGTTTATGATGAATATAAATCATTTGAACCTTTACTTCACTGTTATGTTGTGTTTCAGAAATACATATATGCATTATGATCATCTATAATGAACATTATCACCATATACTAAAATCCCATAATAATGATTGTACTTAATTGCTATCAGGTATCATTTGAGTAGTATACATGGTTTGCAGAAACCCTTTTAAACTCATAACTGATTCTCATGAGTCAGTTTTTCTCAATTAGGTGTCACGAATGTGTTTCAGTACTATATGATGCAGTAACCTAGATTGAATTTTAGTTTTTATTCTTTTGTCATTAAAAACTGAATTGCTGAATATAATCAGTTGATTTCACAATTAATTGTAACGATTAGTGACCACTGTGACACCAAGCTTATGATTGTTTATTGACATGGGAAAGTGGAGTTTAACCCTAGATGAAGAAAGCATGTATAATAATAAAAGGGCTTGTCTGTCTGTGTGTGTGTGACCTCCATAGCTCCAAGAGGAAAGAACCTAGAAACCCAAAATTTTGCACCCATACTTAGTGGACCCTGAGGGTGTGCACCTGGGTATTATTATTTATCCACATGAGTGTGCACCCCATAGTATACCCTATAGTATATCAGCTGGATTAACAACTTCTAGTATATTTATATATATATATAAGATAGTGCATTTTGGTAACAATGCATTCCAACAATGGCTTTTATGTCATGTTGTTTATTAACAAAAGTATAACCTAATATTGTTGTTAGTCTATGTACTGAAAGTATAAAACGAAATGTTTAAACAACTGGAATGATATTTGTCGATTTCTTAATTTAGAATCTCTGTTGATTGAAGAGATGTGTCTTATCTTAAAAACGTTGGTGATATAACAAAGTATCTTAATTCACCAACTATTTAAGTTTAAAATTGGATCGATGATAAATTTTATGCACTTGCTAAAATATATCAACTTAATAAATCATTCGAAGCCGGGTACTTTCATTAATTAAGAAGATAATGAGGTACCACTAAGTTACCATTACATACTGCATATGAAATGTGATGGCAAAACACAGAACAAAAAGATATTTAAAGATGAGTTTCAATGTTTGTTAAAATTCAGTCACATCCCTAGAAAGTGGTCACCCTCATGGCTTTGGTATCAGTTCAAACAAAGTAAACTGATATTCAATGTCCATAGGATTATTTAGATCATTTTTATAAATATATTAATGTTTATGAAAATATCTTATTTCAAAAACGTTTGATGATAATAGTTAAAGTATGTGCTCAATTTGTACCATGAAAATCTATGAATACTATGCTTTTTTTTAAAGACATCGCAGCATGGAGAGAATTTCATTAAAGTCTTCCTGACTGGCCTTACAATATAAAGGTCTCAAAGTCATTATGAATCTATGATTCACCACATTCGCATTCATTTAAATCTTTGTTTATAACTGCTTGAGAAATGGAAAAAAACTTGATTCAACACCATATTCAGGTCCAAGCAATTATAAGAAACGTGTAATGATAATAATGAAACTGGGTGTGTATATAATGGTAAATCAAACAGAAAGCTGAATTCAGAATAACTATTAACATAAAACTCTTCAGCAGGTGTTTACACAATACTTTCATTATTATTATTATCAGAGGCATCGCTAGGCACTGGCACATGGGGCTCGTGCCCTGAATCCCCAATTGGAGTCTTTAAAAAATCAGAAAAGAAAACCATGATTGATATCATAATGAGAAACCGAAAATTCTTAAGCCTCGATCTTTTAACTATCTAGTGACACCTGTGACTATTATTACAATATAGGAGCATATAAAAATAGGCCCAAAGCAGCAGACTTGGAAAGAGTTAATGTTTTATTAAGTAACAGTTGTGTTCCCTTGTATCGTGGATGAATATATGTTTGTGTGTGTTTGTGTGTTTCAAACCATTCAAGTATGAATGTTTAATACAAACATGCTGAAATAATTTTTAATTTGCTGATTTTCTTCTTCAGTTGTTACTGAAACTAGTTACAAAAAATGTATTCGCATTCTTTTAAATAATGTTTTTGCAGGAAAGAGAAGGAATTTGTGTGTAGTACCTATGTGTTGTGGTTCTCAAGAACCCAAACTTTAACCAAAACACTTAAGTCTTTATTTGTCGTTCTATTCAATATGACTGGTCATAATCCACTGTGTACAAGTACACTTGTAAGCACCGTCTAATAAACACCAACGTATATACTCTATGCCAGTGTTTCCCAAACTATTGGTCGCGACCCACTGGTGGGTTGCAAGCGGAATGTTAGTGGGTCATAAAAGGTTATACTAGAATTACGCATTTAATTGTGTCAAATCGAGTGGCAAGTCGAAACTGTCTGTTTTACTTCAGATTTTGAATCCAATTTTTTTCGAATTTACTCAGCCCTTCGTGTAATGGATAAATGGTTAAAGAAGTCAATTGAAGTTGATGACAATGAGTCTTCAGTGAATCAAAACGAAGAAAAGTCAGGTCAATCAAAACCAAGTCAATCAAAACGAAGAAAAGTGGTGAGAAAGAATGATTCCAAGTACTTAGAAATGGGATTTACATGGAATGGAGATGAAGAAGATCCACGACCACGATGTATTATTTGTTGTGATCAACTTGCAAATGAGAGCATGCGCCCAAACAAATTGCGTCGCCATATTGAGACGAAGCATCCCAAGTTGAAAGACAAACCCCTCGAATCTTTTGAAAGGATGCTAAGCAAGTTGAAGACAGGACAAAGCGTTATGCAACGTTACACCAAAGTTAATGAAAAATCTTTGTACGTGTCCTACCTGATCAGTAAAGTTTTCTTTGGTGATAAGAGTGAACAAGAAATTGAAACAATTCCTATTTCTAATAACACGGTCACGCGTAGGATCGATGAAATGTCTCGATGGATAGAAAATCAGCTTATTCAAAGAGTTCTTGAAAGTACAATATTCTCTTTACAACTAGATGAATCTACTGACATACAAGGTCTGTGCCAGCTACTTGTTTTTGTACGTTATATATGGAACTCCGAACCTCATGAAGATATGTTGTGCTGTGAACCAGTCAGTCGAAGTACTAGCAATGATATTTTTAAGACTGTTGTTACTTAGGTCAAAACAAAAGGTCTTGACTGGAATAAATGTGTCAGAATATGTACGGACGGCGCACTGGCTATGTGTGGTAAAAACAGTGGTCTGGTGACCAGAATACTTGAACTTAATCCAAACGCATCATGGACTCACTGCAACCTTCACAGTGCAGCGTTAGTATCAAAACGTATATCTGATGATTTTAAAAATGTTTTGAACACTTCCATTAAAATAGTGAACTTAATAAAGTCAAAGCCATTGCAATCGTGCTTATTTGAGAAGTTGTGCGAAGAATTGGGAAGCAATCATAAATCACTTCTTCTGCACACAGAAGTACGTTGGCTCTCGAGGGGTAAAGTGCTAACAAGACTTACAGAACTCCGCAAGAAGTTGCTATATTTCTGGAAGGTAAAAGCGATTTTGTGAGATATTTGCGCATAGAGGAAATTATTACAATAATTTTTTCAACACTTCAGATACCAAGATAACTTTCCTGTCCATTATTACAATCATTCTTTCAACAGTTCAGATACTGAGATAACTTTACCTGTTCATTATTACAATCATTCTTTCAACATTTCCAGATACCAAGATAACTTTCCTGTCCATTATTACAATCATTCTTTCAACAGTTCAGATACTGAGATAACTTTACCTGTCCATTATTACAATCATTCTTTCAACAGTTCAGATACTGAGATAACTTTACCTGTTCATTATTACAATCATTCTTTCAACA